TGAATTAAAGTTGCACTAAATATTATCAAACAAACCCGTAATCACATTGGGTTGTAGGAATGTAAAAAAAAAAAAAAAATTGTGCTTATTGTCTCATCTCAAAAAAATTATAAGAAAAATTATTTCAATAAAATCTTATTTAAAAAGATTAAAATATTTTATTTTTAAAATACAAACTAGAGTGTTTTTTTTGTCATTTTTTATAGTGATTTATTGAAATAATATAATTTTAAAATAATTTTTTTCATAATATTTAAGAGATAATGTAAAGAATTTCCTTAAAAAAAAAAAAAGGAGAGATAATGTAAAGAAACATGAGAAGAAAAAAAAAATGTTGTAGGTGATTTTATTGAAACCATGGTTTCGTTGTACGTGTTTCAGGGCTGGCCTACCCCATGTCTCATATTGTCTTCCCCCCAAGTTAGAAGGCTAGGAAAGCCCAAAATCGAGCATGTTGGCCCAAAAAAAGTAGATCATCTCAGACACAGACAGTAATAAAGCCCATAAAATCATCGGTTAGTGCCCAATCCTTCGCCGCCTTTGTACAGTTCCCTCTGCTTTTCCATTGAAAAAGAAGAAATTTTGTTCTTTGGCGCCTCTTTTTTTATCCCATTGGGCCAACGCCGAGCAGATGGAAACGAAGCCGGCGAAGCGTCTCGTCGAAATCTGTTCATCGCTTCGGTGCTCCTCCGTCGGCTATTCATTCTCAATCTTCGGCCGCAGAACAATTTCTAAATCTCCGATTTGGATCGCAAACGCTCCATGAGGAGATTGTCTCAAAAGATCACTGGTGTTCCTTCGATCAGTGAACTGCACAAGCAAGTTCCGCCGTTGAATTCTTCTCCCACGGGTTCGATTGCTCAGACTGATGTCAAAATCCCTAGAGAATCAAGAAAGCTGCCTCAATCGGGTTGCTAGGGCAAGGCGGCAGAGTAAAACTGCACTCCAATCTCATCCGCCTGAACTCGGCAATGGTAAACTCGTTGAAACTTGAATAATTTCTTTTTCTTTTTTTTTTTCCCTCTACTCTCTGTAATCTATATGGTTTATTGATTTCTGCAGTCAAGTTTTTGCACAAACATCTCTGGCTCAAACATCCTCGTTGCGTACTCAGTGTCTGTTCTCGATTCACTGCGTATTCTTCCGTGAAATTCAAGTACAAAATATTCACCTTTTTTTTATCTATGGAGAGCACTCTTTATGCCTGGAGATTTGGTTAGAGAGTATTATTGTTTTTTGACAACCTGCCTCTAACTTGATCCGTTCTTATCTGGTTCTTTCTCTGAAACCTTTTTATTAATCAAAACAAGCATTTTCTGCTCTCCCTTGTTAGACTCATAAGATAGAATTTCCAAACCAATTGCTGATTCCTTCCTTTTTTTGTTTGTTAGTTCCTTTTTGTTTGTTAGTTTCCTCCTGATTCCAATTTGGTTTGCCTCCAGGTTTAGATGAATTTCTGGAGCAAGCGGAGCACTTAGGGATCATCTTGGAGTCTCCCGGCTGCTAGGTTATGTGAGGAAAGTGGGTTGCTGTTCAAATCTTAGAACTATAGCCTATAGGTCATGTTTCATCAGTGGTAATCAACTATTTCTAGGTAAACTGCGAAAATTTTTTACTAAACTAAAAATAAGGAGTGAATGAATGCCTTCTATTTTTTAAGGAGTAGGTATTCTTTGATTCTTTGCTAATGTAAAAGGAAAATTAAATATTAATGTTTAGTTTTTTTTTTTTATAGTTTACTATAAAAGTTTTTCAATTTTAGTTTGATTTTATAGTTTGATCGAGGAATAATTACCACCACCAATCAAACAAGCCCGAAATTTTAATGCCGCGTGTATGTATAAAGCATCCTTTTTCTTGACTTCATTATATTCCAAGATTTTTAGAAATATTTTAATCCATTACATGTGAACCAAATTACTAAATTAGTTATAGTGAAGTTTTTCTTTTTAAATAGATATATATATGTATGTATGTATGTATAAAGATAAACGATCCTGTAGGCTCTGGCATCATATATTAAATAGAACTAACACTTTTAGTAAGATAACAAAATGCATTGAAGTAAATTTCAGTTTAATAATGAAAACATGGAAGGTCTGGCTAATAGGAGCTAGATGCATTCTGGTCATATGTGATCCACTATCGTTAGAAAACCAGTATTTTTTTGTAATCTTGACTGTTGAAGTTGAAACATAAGATTATTTCTTTAAATTTGCTAGAATCTGATTGAGTTATTTTTTTGTATCTTGATTGTTGAAGTTGAACATAAGATTATTTCTTTAAA